GTCGTCATGCGGCGGTCTGATCATGGGCTCATCTCATAGCCCTCACACCTTCTTTTTAAGGTGTCTTCGCCTTTTATAGGTAGTCGCATCCTCCTTCAGCTAAGATGCTTCAAAGTGGCTCCATAAATTCTTTGCCACTAATTACATAGAAAGAGAAAGTTGCGGTATACTCCTCGCAATCCTCCACCTCAATTTCTATGTTTGGAGCTTCTACGCCTTTTCTGCTTAACAGCTCCACCCGCACCAACTCCCTTTGGTGTCTTCGCCTTTCATCATAGGCGGTCGCCTTTTATGACAGGCGTTTGCACCCCCTCAATTAGGTGCATCTGCAACAGCTCATCCTTCCATCCTTGCATGCATTGAAAGGTCCTCGCTTGTTGCCTTTATCAAGAGCACAAGAGACTTTTTGTTGTACAACTTTTTCATAGTCTCTGCTCTAAGCTTCATCTGGGAACTCTTCTTCTCCTTGCACCTGTTATCTCATTATAGTACCTCGTTGGATCCTCTAGGTACTCCTACACAATCTTCATGTGCTCTCGTGCAATTTTGGTTCTCCAGATTTCTCCATATTCCTTGCTTATGTTTGACAGCAACTCATCCTGTCACAACATCTATCCAAGTTTAAATAGGGTGCCAATCTTTATCCCTTTGCTGTATTTCTCTTCCATTATCAGGGTCTTCATCAATTCTCCCCTCGAGAAATTATAGTCACCGAATCTAACTTCCTTGGAGAAATCACCACTCCATCAAATCCTTGATCATACGGAACCCAACTGCTCTTTTGTGCCGTCATCCTGCTAGTCTTCAACAGTTTCATAACAAACTGTCACATATACGAAAATAGTACCATATGGATAATCCTTCCACTAAGCAAGTTCCTAGGAAAGATTGGAGGGGTCACAACGGTCCCGCTTAAAACCCAATCACCTAGCCAGAACTTCTTAGGCCATATCTATCCATCGTACTGTCTTTTCGTATATACAACCATTTGCTAGCTTTGTTGCGGCTTTCCTTTACAAGTGATCTAGGGTATCCTGGTTTTATACCTGATTTCTCAATATCTGGCGAGACTACCAGTGCTCAAATTCGTCAAGATTGGTCTTCATCAAATTTCACTCTCCACCTCAAATTGTCCAAATGATCGGGTGTCCAGAGTGTCCCAATTTTAACTTCCCCCAAGGCAATTAAAATTCCTCACATAATAGTTCAACACATGTAATTGGGCAAACATGTGTGATTTCTTCTTCTTCAGCTTCATCGACCACCATGATGACCATCAGATGCCTCCTAATCGAGCAATCTCTCTTTAATAATTCATCACTGCCTTTTATGATCTCAATCTCAATGATCAGACCATACCATTTCATCCGGAATGGTCAAATTAGCTAGAAACAAGTCTGAAATCATCCAAATCGCACTTCAGACGGCTAAGATTTGATCAAAACAATTCTGGCCTGATAAACGGCTCAGATTCAATCTCAGAACCGGTTGCATGTAGACTCTGCCACACAGGATCAAAATCCAGGGAGCTGACGTGGCTGTAATGACGTGTCATCCACGTAGGACATATATGTCAACCAAATCTGACGTGGCAGTTTGACTGGTCAAAGTGCTGATGTGCCAGATAATGTGCCTGATGACTGTGCAGAACTGCTGACGTGCCTAATGACGTGGCAGTTTGACTGGTCAGAGTGCTGATATGTCAGGTGATGTGTCTGATAACTGTGCAGAACTGCTGACATGGCTGATGACATGGACAGTCACCCCGCCGGCGCGTGCGACGGTTTCCGATGTCCGATTTCGACGCGGTTTTCACCAGTGGCTTCGTCTCTTCCTCCTCTACACAGTGGTATGGTCAAAACACAATTTTGACAACTTTCATTTTTGAGCAAAATCAAACACCACTTTAAACCGAACGCTCTGATACCAATTGTTGGGAATTTCGATCGGTGATGTTCTAATACTTGCTCATAGGAGAGCCAAGCACACTGACACAATATTTAACGTGGTTCGGCAAAACCGCCTACATCCACGGGAGAAGTCAATATATTTAGAGATAGAGAAAGAATACAAAACAAATACATGGAGGAGGAGGATTACACCCTCTCATACTCAACTCTCAACTCTCTTTGCTGCACTTGCAGCTGCTGCAATGGCAACAAGGCTGCTGCCATTGCAGCTCTCTCTTCCTCTCTACTCTCTTCACATTTTCATAATTCTCTTCACTCATTTTGCTCTCTTGCATATGCCTCTATTTATAGGCATTCATGGAGGCTTTTCTTCAACAAAGGTGGCTGCTAACTCCAACTCTTCTTCAACAATGGTGGCTGCCAACCTTTGACATCTTGGATGAGTGCACATGGTTGGTGCAATAGCAAATGGTTGTTGCACATTAATGGAAACCAACCTAACAGTAAATAGTTTATATAAGGTCATGAATTAAAATTTACCTAGGATTTATCTAATTACAGGAAAGTGGCCAACACCTTATAAATACGTTCATCAGGTAAGAATAGTAGTTGTTCATTTGTAAAAGAAAAATAGAGAAAATGAAGTTAAAATCCACCACCAATTAATAGTAGAATCAATCTAGTTTTGAAAAAGCCCAAATCAATTAGAAAAGTTATAAAGTAATCGACTAAAAGGTTAAAAGTTATGATTAATCAGGAAAGAACAAAAACGTGCATGATTGATTAGTAAATAACAATTTATTATAGAGAAAGAGTTCATATGATTAATCAAAAGATCAAGTTTTATTACAAATAGTTATTAAATTGAGAAATAATATAAATTAGTTAGAGTTTATATTACTTAAAGGAATAAGAAACTTATAATTAAATTAGATTGTATTAGAATTTATTATATGAACTTCTTATAATATATATAAGTAGTTTATATAGGATTGTGAATTATAATTCACATAGCATTTTGTTGGCATGAGAAGTCTATTAGGGATATAGTAGTTGTTTCATAATAGGAATCCAATTCCGTATAGGAAACAAATCAATCTTGTATATTAATATAGAAAAAAATATATTCCACTTTTTAGAAAGAGATTGTTACCTATTTGAATTGTAATTGTGCCTATATATATTTCCTCCTTTGCAGAGAAGAATACAATACACATGAGAAATTGCAATACGTAGAAACCATTGTCTTTCTACATGGTATTAGAATGAAGGTTGTAGAATTGCAGAGTTGCTCAAACCACGAATCTTATACCACATGGTTCTCTTTGTTATTTATTAAGCTAAATACTTATAAATAATACATGGCTAATTCCACTAGTATTATTCCAGTTCCACCAAATAACACACCAATTATCATCCACTAAGACAACTCTGCATTCCTTACAAGTATTATCTTGAATGAAACTAATTATCCATTATGGTCTCAACTTATGGAGATGCGCATTGGTGCTTGTAACAAAGCTGGATATCTTACTGGCGAAACAAAGAAACCCAACCACGAAGATCCCACGTTTACAACATGGATCACTGAAAATCAAAAAGTGAAAAGCTAGCTTATTGATTCAATGAGTCCTTTACTCATGCAACGGTTTATTCGTCTCCCCACAGCCAAGGAAATATGGGAGGCTGTATCGAAAACCTTTAATGATGGATCAGATGAGACCTGTCTTTTTGAATTAAATAAAAAATCCTTCTCTATCAAGCAATATGGTAGATCATTGTCAGCATATTATAGTGACCTTATTGCTCTCTTTCAAGAAATTGATCACAAAACTGTGTCTCAAGAAAAAACAGTTGAAGGAGTAGTCCAGCTACATTAAGCAATAACTCGAATTCGAGTTCACATATTTCTAAGTGGACTTGATTCTGATTTTGACCAAGTTCGTGGAGAAATATTGCGAAAAGATCCAAAGCTGGACTTGGAAAGTTCTTACGCATATGTGAGGAGAACTTCAACAAAGACAAACTATAGGGAGTTTTCGCATATATAACCTTTTGTTAGTCGGCCAAATTACCTCTGCACTTAATTGTATTGTAACTTTTTGGCCTTCATTTTGTGTTTTTTAGGACATTCTGACCCGGAAGATTCTTGGTTATTGTGTTAAATGAGGCAAACTCTATTATTTGGAATTAACATAGACTAAAGGACAGAAATTCAGTCATGCGTATCAGGTTAAGAGTTTGGATACAAATCATGAAACTATATGGTTATGGCACTAACGATTAGGACATCTTTTTTTGGATATCTTAGAAGATTACAGCCACATCTTTTTAAAGTAGTTAATAATTCAAAATTTTATTGCAATATTTGTGAAATGGCCAAAAGCCACCATATTTCATATTTACCAAGTTTGAACAAAAGTTCAAAACCTTTTTCTGTTATACATTCTAATATATGGGACCCTGAAAAAATTCTTTCCATTTCCAAAGCCAGTTACTTCATCACATTTATAGATGAATGTACAAGAATGACTTGGATATCTTTACTGCATAAAAAAAGTGATGTTTTTATAGCTTTTTAGTATAGTGGGAACTTAGTATCAGAAACAGGTTCGTACTTGGCAAACTGATAATGCCATGGAATTTCTAGATACCTTTGTTTAAAAGTATCTACACCACTATGGCATTCGCCATCAAACTTCTTGTACTTATACTTCATAGCAGAATGGATTAGCGGAAAGAAAGAATAGACAAATACTAGAGGTGGTTCGTGCTTCCCTCTTTGGCATGCACATGCCCCGGTTCTATTGGGGAGAAGCTGTGAAATTTGCAATTTATCTACTCAATAGGACACCTTCCAGAGTGATAGATTTTCAGACACCTTTACAACAACTACAATCCTTATTGTCCATTCCACATCTCCCAAATCTTGAACCCAGAATTTTTTATTACATAACCTATGTCCACATTCCAAAAGTTTTGCGAACTAAACTTGATCCATGTGCCAAACGGTGTGTGTTTATTGGCTATTCAGATTTACAGAAAGGCTACAGATGTTATGATCCTCAAACTAAAAAGCTACACGTAACCATGGATGTATCCTTCCGTGAAGCTGAACCATATTATTCTAAAGGACTTCCAACCACTACTTTTCAGGGGGAGAATTTTAGTCAAGGAAATGTGTTGCCAGAAGGTGGCAATGATGATGGCAATAATGAGTTTTTTAAACTAGAAGAAATAATTGAGAGGCTTACCAACAATAGTACACTTGAGGAGTTACCAGGGGGGACAAACAATGTTTTAGAACTAGAAGCAGTAACTGAAATGCTTGGAAGAAGTCACACTCGTGAGGGGTCACCAATAAATATCGAGTTGCCTCTATTAACACCATTACCTAATGAATTCACTCAGAATGTTGAACCTCAGGAACTCTTAAATCCCATATCTAATGAGTCCAATGTTATTTCTGATAAAACTCTTGTCTCTCTTGAAAGTTTAGTTCCAAGATATTCACAAAGATCAAATAAAGGTATCCCAAAGAAACAATATGAACCTAATCCTAGCGTCACTGTTAAATATCCAATCAACAATTATATCTCTACCAATAGGTTATCTGAATCATATGGACTTAATCTGAATCAATTATCCAATGTCTCCATTCCTAGTAACATGCAGGAAGCTTTGACAGAACCTAATTGGGCCATGGTTATAAATGAATAGATGAAAGCTTTGCAAAGAAATTCTACGTGAGAACTTGTCTCATTACTTGAAGGAAAGAGGACAATTGGTTGTCGATGGGTATTCACTGTGAAACTCAAAGCAGATGGTAACATTGACAGATATAAAGCACGGTTGGTTGCTAAGAGGTATACACAGAAATACAGGGTGGATTACCAAGAGACTTTTGCACTAGTGGTTAAGCTTGACACAATACGCATTCTTCTGCCTCTAGCAGAATATCAGGAGTGACCATTGAAACAGTTTGATGTTAAGAATGCGTTCCTTAATGGAGACCTAGAGGAAAAAGTGCATATAGATTTACCACCAGGCATAAAGTGCAGTCTTTTAAATCGAGACAAAGTGTGTAAATTAAAGAAATCATTATACGGCCTGAAACAATCTCCTAGAGCCTGGTTTGGAAGGTTCTCCTTTGCAATGCGGACATTCAGGTATAAGCAAAGTGGTGCTGATCATACTCTGTTTATAAAATACAAAGGAGGGAAGGTAACAGCTTTAATTATGTATATTGATGATATAGTATTGACAGGCGACGATCGTAGTGAAATGCAGCTGTTACAGGAATATTTAGTTGCTGAATTCAAAATGAAGAACCTTGGACAACTTAAGTATTTTTTAGAAATTGAAGTAGCAAGGTCAGCTTAAGGGATTTCGCTGTCACAACAAAAATATGTGATAGATCTATTGACAGAAACTGGAATGCTTGCTTGCAAACCAGTGTCAACACCTATGGAAACTAATCACAAGCTCAGAATTTTTCCCCATCAAGTTCCAACAAATATTGGTCGTTATCAACCATTAGTTGGGAGGTCAATTTATTTAACACATATAAGACTAGATATCACTTATGCTGTCAGCATTGTATGTTAGTTTATACATGCCCCTAGCGAAGAACATATAGATGCAGTGAACAGCATCTTAAGATACTTAAAGGCTGCTCCAAGAAAAGGATTATTATTCTAAAAAATCGGTGTCTCTAGCATTATGGGATATACAGATGCTGATTGGACAGGAGATCAAATAACTCGAAAATCTACGTCTGGATATTTCACCTTTATGGAAGGTAACCTTATTACTTGGCGAAGTAAAAAGCAAAAAGCAAAAAGTTGTTGCAAGATTAGGTGCAGAAGCTGAATTTCGAGGCATAACTCATGGTGTATGCAAATTATTATGGATCAAACACGTACTGACAGATTTAGGGGCCTAATACACACCTTATGAGTTTGTATTGTGATAATAAGACAACCATTGCAATTGTACAAAATCTTGTCCAACATGATCATATGAAACCAATTAAAATTGATGGTCACTTCATCAAAAAAAATTAAAACCTCATCAAATTTTTGTTTGTTCTATCAAAACATCAGCTAGCTGATATACTTACAAAAGCACTTTCAGGAAAGGCACTTCATGAAATAATTGACAAGTTGGGTATGATCAATATTTATACTTCAACTTGAGGGGGAGTTTTGGCATGAGAAGTCTATTATGAATATAATAGTTGTTTTATAATAGGAATCCAATTACATATAGGAAACATATCAATCTTGTATATTAAAATAGAAAAAATATATTCCGCTTTTTAGGAGGAGATTGTTGTCTAATTGAATTGTAATTGTACCTATATATATTTCCTTCATTACGGAGAAGAATACAACACATGAAAAGGTATAATATGCAAAAACCATTGTCTTTCTACAATATACACTCTAATAAAAAAACATTTAGAAAAATCATTTATATTTAATATATTTGATATTAATACAATTATTTATTAATTATAATTAACAAATATAACGCCAATTAAAATCTTTTTTTTCCTGTATAAAAAAATATGAAACAAACTCTTAGCATTGCTATCCAACATAAAAATATTATTTTGAATATCTAGTATTGCTCTTTCCTTAGTGCTTCAAAAATAAAAGATGAAAGTAAAAAAAAAAATGTTTTTAGCTATTCCCTTAAGAATGCTCTTAGGCTGCTTTGAGATAACACCCATTTCCCTTGATTTTCCTAAATAGATGTATTTTGTTTTTATAAGATACAAGAGTTTCATAAATTTGTTGTTATAGCCAATAACAACACGGTTTAATATAGAAAAAAAATAAATAAAATCTCATATGATTCAGAAAATTTACTTATGAAAACAAAATCTTCATTCATAATCATAATTAAAAAGTCTACAAATAAAAAAGTTATAATCATTCAACTAAATCAGCTTTTTTAAAAGCTTAATTCTTGGTTAAATAATTCACAATTTTTTGAGAATACTTGATCAACTTGGAGACTTGAAGGAGCAGCTAGCGATCAATAAAGTCTTAATGTATGTTAAAAGCTAGGAGTTAATATTTTTTCAAGTCTGAATGCATGTGAGCTTAGGATTCATATTGTAAATATTGTAAGAGGAATTTCATTTATATATATAAACCTTGCATCATTAAAAGATTTAAAATAGTGTAATTCAGCTCAGTTCTACTTCGAATTTGTTCCCAAGTGATTCAAAATGGGTTCTAATAGGGTGTGAAGAGGTTAAAAGAGAGAAACATATGCCTCCTCCATTAGATAACATTAGAGCCGAGTTCCCACTGCTGATCCATTACCCATCAGTCATGTAACTAAAAACTAAATACACAAATCCAAGAATAGAGAAAGAAAGATCATCGACATTGGATGTTATACTGCATAATATATATCTCTACCTCAACTCTCAGCGATCTTTGCTCAATTTTGGAGTGCATTCCATTTCCACTCGAATGACTCCCTCATCATCCATTCGTCCAACATCGTTGAAAGTTTGACCACTCATCTGATCGGACGCTTTTAGGATGGATGCCACAGCTCCCGTGGCATTCTCTTCAATGGGGATCACCATCTCCTCATTCCCAGTATCTTTATTTAAACACTTTCGTCCGGTACCTCCGCGCTCACGTGCAGCCTTTGTTTCTTCAGCAATGTCCTCTGCCGTTGTCAACTTCCCTCTTATGGTGTCCTTAATTGACCCAAACCCTAGACTGTCAAAGATTGTCTCTCTTGTTGTAGTTCCTCTAGTAAAAATACGCAAGAGCAATTAGATTCATTAAGGAAAAAAAATGCTTGAGCTCGGCTAGCTCGATCGCTTGTACCTTTCAGCTTCAATATCTTTAGCTTCTTTTTGGGCAGCTTCCTCTCTATGTTCTTCAGCTCTCAGCTTCATCCCCTCCGTTTTCCTCCTTGCCACCTCCTCGGTTTCACTCAATTTCTCCTGAAGTACCAAAAAATCAATAGGATTTGATTAACATAGTAAAATGTCGTCAAACGAGAATCGTTTTTAAAATTATCCACATGTTTGATAAACCTTGGTTGCCTCTGTAGTCTCTGCTGCTTTCTCTTTCACTTCCTCTTTTTTACCAGATAAGAAGTCCACGGCTTTTCTTGCAGCATCTTTAGCCGACTCTGTGAGCCCTCCGAGCTTACTAACAGTAACATCCTTTCCTTCCTTTGCTTTCTCTGCTGTATAATCCTTCGTTTCCTTTGACTTCTCTGCAGCGTAATCCTTATACTCACCTGTCTTCTCTAAAGCAGAATTCTTTGTTTCCTTAGCTTTCTCTGATGCATAATCTTTGTACTCATCGACCTTTCCCATCACCGAATCCTTGGTGTCCTTGGCTTTCTGAGCGGCATAATCTTTGTACTCTTTCGCCTTATCTTCATACTCTCCAATCTTTTGCTTTGCTGATTCCTTTGTCTTCTCAACCTTCTCTTTAGCTGATTCCTTGGTTTCATTTATCTTAGATGCAGCAGAATCTGTAGTCTCTTTCGCCTTCTGAGTCGTATAATACTTATACCCCTTCGCCTTCTCTGCAACAGAATCCTTATTCTCTCTAGCCTTCTCTTCTGCTGCATCAGCAGTTTCCCTTGTTTGCTCTGCAGCCTCAAAACTCTTACCAACAACAGCATCTTTAGCATGCCCCAAAGTGTCAGCAACTGATCTTAACACCGATCCAATAACCCCTGGTCTTTCTTGTTGTGGTTGATCTGTGGCCATTTTGGCCTCTCGTTCTTCATAGCATTCTCTTTCTCTATTAACGTCCCTGAGATCAGATGCTGCCTGCCATGCTGCTGCCTCAGCCCTCTCCTCCTTCTCCTGCCTGGATGCCATGACTCAATCACTGAAAACAAAAGGTTATACAGAAAAACAAACAAAGAAGAG